AGACAATTGATCTGCTGAACAACTGTGGTCACGATTAATAATAACCACTTAATGTGCACAGCAGAGAAACAAAAGAATATTCAGTGACGATAACTGGGAAAATAAAGACCAATAAAAGGATGGGAAATTAAAGTGCATATTTACTTCAGAAAATACAACAGCAAGAAAATATAGATGGGTATCAGTACAGGTAAAGGAAGATAACTGAGTGGAATTAACAAGTCCTCAATTTATGTTTAAACAATTGCATTTGAAAATGAGGTGATGGGAAAATGAAAAAAAAATCCTTTCGTTTTTTTAAAAGTGAGTTGTAAAGCTATAATTTTATAGGAACATTTTTGCTCTGGCCCAAGACTGTGTTTTGAAAGGGACAGTGGAGGAAAGGGCTATCCTCTTGAAGAATCCTAAGGCATTTATTTAGTATATTCACTTTCCATTTTGATTATGATTTTGCTGCTTTTAACATGTACTATACATTATGTGCAAATTCTAGCCATCTATTTTGTACTTTCATTTCTGTAACAGAGATTTGCAAATTTATATATTTTATCCCATTATACATAAAATAACTTATGAGGTAAATATTCGTAATTAATAAGTATGTTCTGCTGAATGTATGAATTTTTCTATCCATCCACCTCTGTCAATCGAGTGAAACATTCAGCTTGTAATGAATATGAGATTATGAATTAGCTCAACTTTTTTGGCTGATTAAATGTACTTGCTTACTTTAATGCAGACACATGAACATAATTATAAATAAATGTGTGTGTTAATGAGAAAACATTTTGGTATCGTAAATAATCTGAAATAATTCTATCATACATCATCATAGTTTCTATATTAAGATGGATGCATACATGCATGATTTAGGTCCATCATTTGTAGGTATTGGGATAGATATATTAATAAATATGCCAAGATATCTAGATTCCTTAATTCTTAATTATAATAACTTATATTATTTATTTATTTTATAATAGTCTACATGCATAAGTATTCATATTCTATGCATATAAGTCTACCCCAAAATGCCTGGGCATCTTGTTGTATTTAGAGGTATGCATCAGCCTAAGAATGTAAGTTTATCATTATGTACATTTTTTTTAATAACTTGCTGTCGGTTTTGTTTCTTGGGCCATACCTGCTGATACTCAGTGTTCAGTGTTTACGGTGGGCTCTGTTATCAGAATCAGAAATCACTCCTGACAGGGTTTCAGGAAGGCCTTATGCGGTGGCAGGATCAGGTTGGCTGCATGCAAGGCCCCCACTCTACATACTACTATTTCTCTTGAAATTGGTGAGAATTAATTCATTTAGTCACTTTTTTCAATGAACCCAAATTTATAAATTACTTTATTTACTCTACCTCAATATTCAAACCCTGAAAGTAATGAGAGAATATATTTACTCTGTTTAGAAAAAAGTAGTTTTTTTATTCAGTATTTTGAAAACATTTAGCTTTTTTTAACAATAGAAATATTTTATACAAATATAAATATTACTAATAATTTATCATTTCATTACTAGGGCATAGACTATCCCTTGTTTTAATAACTGTTGCTGAAAATGACTGATGTTTAAAGAATAAATGGATGTGCACCCGGAGATACTGTACAGTGCATGAAGCACTTGCCTTGCAAACGGCTGACCCATACTCGATCCCCTGCATCTCTTTTTGTCCCTGGAGTATAAGTGATCCAGATCAGTGATCCATGAGCACAGAGCCATAAGTAAGCCCTGAAGACTGTTGCATAGAGCCCCTAGGGGAAAAAAAATAACAGTACAAAAAGAGTAAATGAATAAAAATAAAATAATAAGTAAGTAAATGAAAGATCCACAGTTTTTCCCAAGGCTTATTTATGTGTGTTTGTGTGTGTGTATGTGTGTGTGTGTGGTCACAGGCACGAACTATGGTCAAGGAGGGCTTGCTCTAGGCTTGGTTCTAACCCTGTAGTGCAAGGATCATTCCTGATCCTCGGGTGGTTTGGGTGACCATGTATGGTGTCTGGAAATGAATGTGTGTGGACTTTGGCAAGAAAAGTGTTTGAGGGCTTTACTATCACCAACCCCTCCCCACTGCTAACTTAAAGGAAATTTTGAGCATGGAATGTATACTTAAAACTTTTCTTGGTAGAGCATCATGAAGAAAATTATTAATTGTAAATCATTATAGGCTTTCTTTTTTATATTTCAGGGTCTCTAATAAAATTAAAAATATCATTTTCAATAATTATAGGGATATCTGATATAGAGGACTGTTTATATGTTCTGAAAAATTATCTCTACACAGTATTGTTCTTATAATACAAGAAAATCCCACTAATCAAGATCCCTTAAGGGGCCAGAGAAATAGTACAGAGGGTTTGCCGAGCATGCGGCCAACCAGGCTCAATCTTGGCATCCCATATAGTCCCCCATGCGATGCTAGGAGTAATTCCTGAGCCAGAAGTAACCCCTGATTGTCTAGCCAGGAGTAACCCCTGAATATCACTGGGTGTGACCCCAAAAGTGGAAAAAAAAAGTCACTTTTGATGCTTTTTGGAAACCTACTTTTGATGATACCAAAGAGCAGTGCCCTGGTTCCTTAACCCATAAAAATAGGACAAGATAGTGGCATATTAAATTTATTCCAATTAGAAATTGTCTCAATGAGAATAATTAAACATATCTAAGCAATGATTTCAAGTATTGTCAGCTAATATTATAAAAATAAATAATGTTAGCAAATGTTTAACTACTTTCCAGATAATATCAAAGAATAAATCACAACAATGGTGAAATGTTTGTGAGATTCTCTTCTTTCATTTTCAGGTGCTGATTTTATTTGTTTAAATGTCTTATTTTCCTTATTGTGGGACGACACTTTCTGGCCCTTGGGGACTTGTGGCCACAACTGATGGTGTTCAAAGTCAAACTCAGTTTTCACATGTATGGTGTGTGTTTTTTCACTTGAGCCAAATCTTCACTATTATTTCAATTTCCTTGATATACATACATATATGTAATAAACTATTATATTAATTATGGTAGTGTCTGGGTTTACTCATGGCTCTGTGATTAGAACTCACTTCTGGAAGTGATCAGAGGATCACAGGAAATATCAGGGATCAAATTTCCTGCAAAGCAAGCATTTTGAACCCGATACAATTTTCCCAGCTCCCCAGTAGTAAATAATTTGTAATAAATAATTAATTTTTAAAACTGGGCCATCTCTATCTTCAGCTCCACATATAGATATAGTCAGTATCAAACCATTTTTGTTTCCTTAATAATTGATCTATTTGAAGTAGTCATGGTTTCTTAGGAAATGGGAAGTGACCAGATTAGTATTACGATCTGAGGTGGCACACACCCTTGTAAAGTGACTATAATTTTAACCAGATCTCATTGGTTGTTTACTTTCATAATTAGATAATTCTGAAAATTAAAATGTCTTTGGACAGACAACTGTGCCTTTTGCTCCTGGAAACTTGGGAGGGGGGTCATTCTAGGAGACTGAAATATTTGATTCTACATAAAGGGTATGATATTACTACTTTGTAATTCACTCTCAAAGCACAGTATTCTCACTAATTGGAAAGCACATAACACTTTGGTATTATTTATGATAAACTCAGCATGGAATGTGACTTCCTAGTGTCGACCCAACAAAGTGCTCTGTTTATAAATAAATCATGTTTGGAGCTTGAGAAATAAGGAGTCACTTAAGTAACAGTTGGTCTCAATGAACTTAGGACCTCTAGATAATTAGCTGCCTATGCATATTATATATTTATATATACACATATATAATAAAAGAATTTGTTATATATACATATATATAATGCATGCATTGAAAACTTGACATAATGTAACACTGTACCTTAATAGAATATTCAACATTATTATTGGCATCATTAGGCATTTTCAAAGTCACTGTAGGAGGTAAGTGTATTTTCCATTAAAGGCTAATTTCAGTCTGTTTGAACTATTATTGCCAATAAACTTGCAAGTACAAATACATAAAAAACAACTTTTTTATTCTTTCAGATATTATTTTAGTGAATACGGACAAAATGAAGTTAAATGATTGCATTTCTGGTGTTGGGGAATATTTGACATAAACTGGTAATGCTTTAAGACTGTGTTACTGGTAAAAATTTAAATTGTTTATAAATAGTAAATTGCTAAATTTACTAAATTGCTAAATTCACACTAACGTGTGAAGAATTTATCACATCTCACTTCATAGCAGGACTCAATGGAAAAATAATTCTTACCTAAATACTATAAATTCGGCTAAATTGCCCTCCCTCAAAAGAACTCACAATAATTATTCTCAATAGTAAATATAATCTCTCAGTGTTCTTCTCTAGGCTCAATGTTAATTTTTTACAAAGATACACAGTTGATGAAGCCAACTTCAGTTCCTAGAGATAAAAGCAGCTGGAGACAATCTAGTTGTAAAAACTTGTTTATTTTTTTAAAAATAAATACAAAAATATAAATATAAAACATTAGCAGATAGAATTTGATGAAATGAAATTGCACAAACATTTGAATACCAGGTTGCATATCACACCTACTAACACCACATGTACATTGCTGATTTTTTTTTTTAAATTTATTGTACAGAACAGGATATACCTTAAAATGTGTCTTCACCTTTTTTTTGTTTTGTTTTGTTTTTGAAAAGCTTCATTTTGCAAGGGCAGGGCATGTATCTCACAGAAGCGGCTTGTTGGTGAGGTTCCGTAAGGGACAAGATCCTGTTCGTGTTTCTGGAGTTATCTTTTATTTCCTAAGATGGGCAACGCTGAATTTCCATAGCTTTGGCTCTTGGAAGTGATGCAATAAAACGTCGTCTAGATTCCCATGAGACAGCCTACCGGAAAGAATTAATGGAATTAATGCACAAATTATAAAAGGCGGTGGGGGAGGGGGTCGTGTCGAGTGATGCTCTCCAGTCTCGTGGAGGAGAGGATGCAGGTCCAGGGATGCTCCTCTTGCTTTTGCACGGGACACAGGTCCTGGGTTAGGAGTCCTTGTCGCTGTCCCCGCCCCCGTACATTTCGGCCAGTTTATTGAACCGGGGACCCCACTCTCGGAGGTAATCGTAGTTCTGGTCGCCTTCGGTGGTCCCCGACTCCAGGGAGCTCAAGGACTCCGCGATGGAATCGTTGCCCTCGTAGGCGTAGGTGGCCAGCGAGTCGTAAGGAGGCGCCGTGGGGTCCAGGTCGTGCTCCTTGAGCCGCTCGTGGATGAAGTCCCGCACGTCGGTGTTGTCGGGGGCCGTGGGAGTCCTGCGGGGGATGAACAGTGTCTCGGGGATGATGTCGCGCCGCAGCTTCTTCTCCTCGATGGATGCGGGGTTGCGCAGGGTGCCGATGTCGAAGGCCTGCGTGTCCTCCTCGCCCCCGCCCTCGTCGTTGTAGCTCACGATGTTGTCCCGGATGTCCTCCTTGGACAAGATCAGGGGCTCCTTCTTGCGCTGCCTTTTCAGAGCTGCAAACAGCACTACGATCACTTGGGGGTGGGGAAAAAAAAGAGAGAGAAGTCAGAGAGCCACACAGTGCACGTGGAACCAGGGGGGGTGTGCTCCCAGGTTAGACTCACACTGGCGGGGTGGAGGGAAGGATGGAGTTGCATTTGAGCTGGATGATGCAGGCTTTGATTTTTTTGTTTTTTTTTCCAAGACTCAGAGACTATATAAACCAGCTCCCGGAACCGCGTGGCCGCATTTGCGGCCGCGCGACGTTATATTATGACATCTTATTATCTCATTCCTACTTTGGACAACCTGGCAATCTACCTAATATAACCTGCCCACATGGCAGAGTCTGGCAAACTCCCCGTGGTGTACCCAATATGCCAAATACCAGTAACAATGATGGGACTCATTCTCCTAAAGAGCCTTAAATATAATCTCAGGGCTAGAATGAAGGAGACAACGTTACTGGGGCCTGCTCGAGGCAATCGACGAATAACAGGATGATTTGTGATTTGTGATTTTGTGACTATTTTTTCTAGTTGCTGTGTTTGGCAAATCAAATACCTCACGGGGAGCTTGCCAGGCTTTTACTCTTGGTAGCTTGCCGGGTTGTCAGAGAGGGGCGGAAGAATCGAACCTGGGTCCCGGGGTCGGCCTATAGTGCAGAGGGTAGGGCGTTTGCCTTGCACAGAGCCAACCTGGCCACCCTGGCCAACCCTAGTTCAGAGAGCCCGGCAAGCTACTGAGAGTATCTCGCTAGCACTGCAAAGCCTGACAAGCTACCTGTGATGTAACAAGTCTCATGATGGAGACATTACTGGGCCCCCTTGAGCAAATCGATGAACAAGGGGAGGACAGTGCTATTATTATTTTTTGCTTTTTGGGTCACACCCAGTGATGCATCGGGGTTACTCCTGGCTCTGCACTCAGGGATTATTCCTGGCAGTGCTCTGAGGACCATCTAGGATGCTGGGAAACAAACTCAGGTTGGCCGGGTGCTAGGCAACCGCCCTTCCCTCTACGCTATTGCTTCAGCCTCTGGATGATGTAGTCTTATCAATTGTTTTGCACAGGAAAGGGGCAATGAGGGCAGATATTGGAGAATTTAGCCAGGGTTGGGTAGTGTTGAAGAACTGGATTTCTAGTAGATTCAAATACAGTGAATATTTTTTTCAAAACTCCTTTTACAAGATTGCTCTAGAAATGGTATAGTTTGCATTAAAAATAACATGAAGTGGCATATTAAAATAGAAATAAACTTAATTTAGCTCCCAATGTACAAGTGAGGGTTAAAATAGGTAGTGTTTTTTACAGATGTAATATATTGGTTTCTGTTAAATTGATTTGTTGATGGATTTAAGGGTACCTTTTCCTATCTTGTTGAAAGAAGGTGTTGATTATTGGGAACAAATGCCAGGTTTAACCATTAATCATTCATAAAACGTTCATGGAAATATATACGATGCATGTGATTTTTTTTTAAGTTGTAGGATCGCATCATGGCAAAAATTGAGTGAAAAATACTACACTGAACTAGCTAAAAAAAATCATACTTTATTCTCCTCTAAATGTATTTTTAAAAAGTTTAGATCCATAAGCTGAAAAATATTTCACTCAGAAAATTTTCTTCCATATAAAAAATCATCTCCTTATTTTAAAAACAATAATACTATAAAAGGAGAAAGTTTTCATCACTCCCACTCCATTTTCACTAGTTTCATACCATTTTTCACTATCCTCATATATTTTTCTTATTTTTTAAAATGTGGACCTGGAGAAACAAATTGAATTCAATTCAGGTGAGTAAAAGTATAAAGCATATCATATATTTGTGTGTCACATACATATTCTGTAACTACTATAGAAAAAATATTTCAAGAATATAGAATTTATCATCGCTAAGGACTCAAGGTATTCACCAAAACTCTATATAACGAAGTCCAAGTCTGACTGTGATCTTATTTGTGATGGGCCCCTCAGGGAGGTCATTGGATACTGCGGGTGAAGCCCTCATAAATAAGCCCTTATAAAAAGTGACACAAGAGAAATGATTGCTTGCTTTGTGCTGAACAACATGAAAATACAAAAGAAAAAAGGCCACTTTCCAACTAGGATTATTCCCCATCACCATGGAACTGCAGTGACCTTGACCTGGGGTACCCAGCCCCCCAAATCCTGAGGAATGAACCTCTGCGCTTGAAGCTTACAGTCTAGGGTATGGTATTATAGCAGCCTGAACTAATTCAATTATGTTTTTTTTAGGAAGGGTAAATTATGTTTTCTTTTTTATTAGCATAGCATGGTAAGGTTTAATTTTAAGAATGTGTAAGAGGAAAAAGAACTTTTTAAACATGACATAAATTTTTTTTAATCTGTTGACAAGTGTCCTCGACCTTTATAATGTTTAAAAAATTAGGTCACCGCTATTCATTTTTTAAAAAGAAATGATGACCTGCTTCTTTGTCTAAATTCATGTATTCATGCATACTCACAACACACTCACTTGAGTGCACAAAAGTATAATGCAGAATTTAACTGTCCAAACAGCAAACAAATCTTACCCAGTAAAAACAATAATAAAATGAGAATAATAAAACTTACTAAGATTGACTCCAGATTCAAAGTTCATTTCTTTTTTTTTTTTTGTAAAGTTTCACATATATTTTCTTTTTAATTTGGTCACATGATGGCACTTGTTTTAAAAATAATGCAACCAGAAATTAAATTTTATCAGACTTTCCTCCAAAAAATACAAAATAAGCTATTTGCTTTCAGTTATAAAATTAGTTTTAGTTTGAGGGAATACCGAAACTAGGATAAGGACTATTTGAACACAATTTTGGGGCAGAATTGTGTAAGTAGACTTCACTCAGCTATGATTAGAAAAGAAAAAAAGTGCAAATAAGGTTTGGATGTACTGAAGAATTATGTGTCCGGCAAGTATCAGCCTTGTGTTGACGCAGCCATTCTGAAATTCTGTCATGTTGGAAAATGGCTTGCATATTTCTAACTTTTGGTTTGATTTCCTATTTATAAAGGAAAGCCCTACCTCCATCAGATTAGTTGAAATATTAGAATATCTATAACATCCCTCAGGTCATTGGTGCCCTGCTTTTTTCATCTTTGAGATTCGTTCTAGAATAGACATTTGAAAACAACTTTTTTAAAAAAAAATTATTATTATTTACAAGCAAACTAGGAGAGAATCACGCTTTCTTTACAGTCTTACCCAGAAGAATAATGATGCAGAGGAGAATAGCAATCAGGGCCCCCGTGCTGAGGCCAGCCGGGAGGAGGAGGGCCTCGGCACTGCACGACTGCATGTTCCCCTGGCTGTCACATGCGCACACGCGGATGGTAAGCGTGCCCGTGCTGCTCTGAATCGGGTAATCGTTGTCTGATATCACCACAGGCAAGAGATAGGTACTGATTTCATGTCTGTTGAATCCATTTTTTCTCGTTAAAATTCTGGCAGTGTTATCTAAAATTAAACGTTAAAGCGTTACAAGTTTATGGGAGGATGGAAACTAGAAAACTGATACCCATTTTCTTACACAACCGTTTACAGTGCAGTTAAAATATAATAATAATAATAATAAAGGCCCTCCCGTTGATCGTCGATTTGCTCGAGCGGGCCCAGTAACGTCTCCATTGGAGACTTTTGTTGTTACTGTGTCTGGCATATCGAATATAGATAAGAAAAAATCAGAATCTAGTTGGAGGAATCCAGTGTGGTGATTGTTTACTTGTCAGATTTTCCACTCATTATCAGATGCAAATGATCAGTTATATAAGTGATTGATTAATGAAGACAGCATTGATGATTGTGCACTTTTCAGACTTTTTAGAAAATGTAACTATTTTTGATACTAAGATACATCATAGTACACGGTAAATGGCACTCACACAACATGCCGTAAATCTAATATGAACATGTGCAGAGGGATTATAAGTACATAGCACTTTTATAAGTAATAATCAGTCAACAGTTTCGTTATGAGCGACAGTGAGTAAATAGGAAGTTCCCTAATATGTACAAACTTTGATGTTCACCCATAAAAGTGCACAATACATGATTTAAAAGTATTGGTGAAAGATAAATGGTATGGAGTGACTAGTAGCTGCAAAAAAGAATTGGATTAAGAATATCAACCTACTCCTAGTTTATTGTACAAATACTTTCTCCTGGGTAGGTCTTGTTTTGTGGACCATACTAGGCTGTGCTCAGGGCTTACTCCTGACTCTATGCTCAAGGGACACTCCTGTCTGGGCTCACAGGATCACCTGTGGCAAGTGATTTTCCTATTGTACAATTTCCTTTCTTTGTCTAACTTTAAAATTCAACCACTAACCTAAATTGAGAACTGTGACATTAATAAGAACAAAACATTCTTCCAGGACTTTATATAATCAATAGTAAAAAAATAAAATCGACGCTCACAGTTTTTTAATTGTTTTTCTTGTCCTAATAAACTTAGCCTTGCTTAGCAAATAAAACAAATTTAAAAGGCACTGCCAACATAGAGAGGGGAGAAGTCTGGCAAGTGAATATTTTAAAAAGTGGCACTTTAATGAACACAAAATCATTTACTAAACAGTGAAAAATGGACTTCTTTTTCTGCACCAGTTTACAAGAATGCTTTTTTATTACAACAGACAACATGTGACTGATGAAGAAATTTAGAAAGTAGAGCAAAAGTAAAAAAAAAAAAAAAACCTAAAACATTTTGTCTACAGCCAACACTATAACATTTGTATATATTCTTCTGAATATTTTATATACATGCACATTACTAACATCATACTACACACAGTGTTTTAAGACCAATTTTGTTAGCTAAAGATCTACATTTTAATAAATGTTCTTTTCATGTACTACCCCAAAAATGTACAGATCTCTATATTGGTGGTCTTTGAGACAAATCAAATTCGATGTCTGACATTGCATTAGTTGTTATAATCAATGCATAAGACAGCTGTCCATTTTTCAGATTCTTTTTTAGAGATAGCAAAATGTAATAATGTGCTTCATCAGAATTAATTCTAAAATTCTAACCAACTAGCATTAATAAAATCTCATGAACTGTGAGAGACCAAAATTGGGCCTAAAGGAGAACTTTCTCAGGAAGTTAAATTATACAACGTCAGTTAGCTTCATACATTCAAATTATATGAGTGATGCACACATGCCAATTTTAAATGTGAAATGCAATTTTGGTTCTCTTAAAATTTTATATCTTCTAAGAAGTAATATGCTATAGCATTTCCGTTCTCCAACATACACTAACATTAACAGATATATAATTTTAGAATTGTCTTACCTTGTTACTTTAATTTCTAAATCTATTTTTTTGCCTAAAACAGTTTTGATCCAAATGGAATCTTATCTTCAAACTCTTGCTTTAAAATTTATTTATTTAAATACTCTAAAATTTATTAATATACTTTTGATCTATTGGTTTATGAAAAGAAAGGAAATCTTAATGAAAATCTCCATGTGTGCTCCTAAAGAACCCAAAAAGGAATTACAAAAATATTTATACCGTATAATTAAATATTTTAAGTTGAATTAGTGGTTATCTATAAGGGTATTTTTCTAAAATTTATCGACACAAGGTCTATGTCACTGAAATTAATTTCAAAATTTGTCCAATAACAGAAAACAGCATAGCAGGTCATATCAAGTACCCTATCATACTTTAGTGGTATGCTAATTAGTTACAGAGGTTTATATTCAAATAATTTGACCTCTTTGAATAAAACATCAGGAATTCTTCCTTGAATAGAAAAATTGTACTACTTGCCAAAAATGAAGATAAGTCCTGAGTTGTTCCCCAGTGAGTATGAAATTTTATGATAAGAAAATTCTATTACAAGTTTCCATTACTTTTAAAAATTGGGAGGTACCTTGTTAGAATACAGGACCCAGTTTAACAGAAACAAAATAAATTAAAATACAGCTACCAATGTATAGCACTGCCAACTCAGTGATAAGGATGTCCAATCTAGGTTTTATATTTCATTTTATGGTTGGTTCAGCAAATTGAAATGGTATATTAAACTTAAATGATCTAAATTTTAAAGTAACTGGACTTTTGTATCTTATCTACCAACTGTCAAGCTTTCCAATCATAATTGTTTTAGGTGACCAGAGGATAATATATAGAAATTGTATAAACTTATATTCGGTAAATGAATTTTCTCCTCTAGGTTTTTTTCAAATTCTATACACTATCCAATGTATTAATATTTGGTTTAACATGAAGCTACCTCCTATCTTAAATAAACACTTTCTGACCTTCTGTTATATTGTAACAACCTTAAGTTAATATAGTCACTTGCATCTACCAACATAAATACACTGTGATGAAGTTATTGTAAATACTCCAAATGTGGTTAATAGTTTTATTTTTAAAATAACTATCTCTGCACTTGCACTAAAATAAGCATGCCTTTTTAACAAAAGTTGGCTGATAAAATTAGTTTGAACAAATGTATAAGGTAGAAAAAAGCTATAATTATATACTTTGTTGAGACTAGAATAATTACCATATTTTCCAAAGAATAAAGCTGTTCGACTTTTTAAAAATAGTCATCATTTTCATATGTTTTTCCTGTAAGATGTTTTTGAATTTTTGAGGATGCAAAAAATACAATTTTAATGTTCTCCCTATATTTTTTTAAAATCTCATTAGCATCAAATTCACATTACACAGGACAGTGATATACCTTGTTCTTCTGTTTTTGCATTTAATCCCCTCACAGGAGGATCACTCACTCATTTTCTTTTGGTTTTTATAAATATGCTGCTGCTAAATCTCACTGAAATTTAATCATCAGTACCACAGAAACTCACTTAATTCTCTACCCATGTATCCTGCCCTTCTATTATAAGATCAGATCATTTCTAACCTTGATAATCTCAAGATTTATTCTCCCTGTTAGTATCCCAAATGAGAATTCTTGTACATTATTCATTTAAAATTCAAGATCCCAGACACTGTCAAAGACTACATACTTTGATATTCATTTTCTGATTAAAAGTTGTAATGCAAACGAATAAATTAATAATCATGTATATGGTAATGATAACTTTAACATGACCTTAAATCACAATGAACAAGTTCAGATTACCTTCATTATCTTGCACTGTGAAGTTTGGATTGACAGCAGCTAAACTGAAGAAAAATTTCTGTCCTCCTAAAGGATCATCTTTGTCAACTGCACTTATTGTCTGTATTAGCTGCATGAAACAGAAAAAAACATGTTTATAAAAACTCGTGGTTATAATCTACAGCATACAGTGTAATTTTAGCATGGGATTATGTTCAAAATGTCTTAGAGACTGTAAAATGTGTTTTTTTTGTGTGTGTGCATATATCTTCATTTGTGTTCATTTTTATATTTGAGGAGTTTATTATGTGAGGGAGTGATAGCACAGCAGGTAAGGCATTTGCCTCACACTCGGCCAACCCGGGTTCGATTCCTTAGTCCCTCTCGGAGAGCCCGGCAAGCTACTGAGAGTATCCTGTTTGCAGGGTGGAGCCTGGCAAGCTACCCCGTGGCATATTTGATATGCCAAAAACAATAACAACAAGACTCAGAATGGAGACATTACTGGTGCCCGCTCAAGCAAATTGATGAACAATGGGAGGACAGTGCTACAGTGCTATTATTTAGGGGAGCCACACCTGCAGGTATTCAGAAATTCCTCATGGAAAGGCTTGAGGAACATTGCGGAATGTGTAGGGCCCAGCCTGGGTCAGTCAGTGCAAGATAAATCCCACCCCTTCTGAACTAACTTTCTGTCTCCAATTCATGTTTTCAATTTTTAATTTTAACAATTCCTGACTCTCCCCCTTCTCTCTACCCTACTATGTCTTGATCTCTGTCAATTTCTCCTAAGTAGTAAAATATTTCTTAAAATAGAAAATAGTCATATGTACTAAAATATTAACTTTAGGCAAGATTTACTGAAATAATAAATGCTCCTATTATATTCTTTGCCATTTATTCACTTAGCTACTCCATAACATTTGAAGTTAGCAATTAGTCATATATTTCAAAATGGATCTAGAAGACTTTATAAAATGCAGAAGAACCTAGAAATTTATTGTGATTATGGGTGTCCTCCTTATCAAATACTAAATAATATGTAGACTTCTTAAAAAGGGACTAACAGGGCAGGTGATGTTCTAATTTGGAGTCATCCAAGACACACCAGAACCCAGGGTTGGCCTATTGCTTGACTTCCAAGCGAGTGATCAAACTCATAGTTTTGTATATCATAGGCTCCTCCCTACTACTGGAGCTATTACTGGCCTTAGTAGATGTCCTATAAAAACATATCATGTAACTTTTAAATGAAAGTTATTGGCATTTACGGACAATAACACTTCATGACATTTGCACTATTAAGAAGACTTAATACCTCTATTGCAAACTACAACACCCTAAAGGAAAAAGAGCAAAGGGGAATGCCCTGCCACAGAGGTGAGGTGGAGTGGGGGGGATGGGATGGGGGTTGGGGGAGCTACTGGGATCATTGGTGGTGGAGAATGGGCACTGGTGGAGGGATGGGTACTCGATCATTGTATAACTGAAACTCAAGCACGAAAGTTTGCAAGTCTACAACTGTATCTCATGGTGATTCACTTTAAAAAAAAAACTTTTTTAAAAAAAAGTTCAATACAGCTACTATTAACATGAATTAAAAAAAAGAAGATTGGAATACTTTCAAACCTATTATATGCATGTTCTTTTATAAGGGTCCCCTCTTCAGTTATTCAAAAATAAACAGAACTGGAAGAAGCTTCCTGGAACAATAATGGGAATTTTAACAGCAAATAATATAATCCTGCTTGGACATAATACATTATTAACATTATAAACATAAATTACATGTAATGGTAGATAAATACAACATATAGCTATATATGTTTTGTGTACATATTTTTGTTTAATCTGGTTTTAGACATTTTATATCTTTATACAGTGACACCAGAGTTGTTAAATATATATTGACTCGGTTTAGTCAAATTTAATTTTAACTGAAAATTAAGGCTGTATAAATACTTGAAATAAATATATGCTTTTTCAGTTCAAAAGGGCCTTCATGCTTTTTTAGTTCAAAACGGGTTTCATGTTTAAAAAATTTATCACATATGTAAAATTCTAAGCGTTTACTTATATTAGTTTTCAATAGAAATACTTCCTGTGAAATACAATGCGATTTGCATAAAATATTTAATTCCAAACTTAATGTTTTACTTTAAAGTAATGCCAAAATATAACTGGTTCAGAGAAATATTTATTCTTTAGAAATAAGTAGCATAAAGACAAATACTTGAAACGTGAGTTGTTTAAAAATACACATTTTAGAACAAGATATAACATAATTAAACATTAGTTGTAATTTATAGGCAAATGGAAGCAAGAATTTATGACTGAAGGCTTACCCATTTAATAAAGAAGGGTTAAAATCAGAATCACATTTTCTATCATAAGTAGAAAATGTGAATACAACACATTATAATACATTTTCATTTACTTTTCAGGGTCACGGTCCCCCCGTTGTTCATCGATTTGCTCGAGCGGGCCCAGTAACGTCTCCATTGGAGACTTTGTTGTTACTGTGTCTGGCATATCGAATACTCTCGGTAGCTTGCCGGGCTCTCAGAGAGGGGCGGAGGAATCGAACTCGGGTCGGCCACGTTGGCTGTGTGCAAGGCAAACGCCCTACCGCTGTGCTATTGCTCTAGCCTCTTCATTAGAGTACCCAATTCAATTTTTTAAATATTTCTTGACACATTCATGTTTATTGAGCTTAATATAAAAAATTTTACTTAAAAATTGGGCCAGAAACATAGTATAGCGGGTAGGTCATTTGTCTTGCATGGTGCCAACCTGGGTTCGATTCCTTTGTCCCTCTTGGAGACCCTGACTAACTACCGAGAGTATTTTGCCCACACAGTAAAGCCTGGCAAGATACCTGTGACATATTTTATATTCCAATAAAACAGTAAGAAGAGTCTCACAATGGAGACTTTACTGGTTCCTGCTCAAGCAAAATCGATGAACAATGGAAGGACAGTGCAGTGCAGTGCAGGACTTAAAAATTATGAATCATAAAAATATGTTGGAAAAATGGCATAAACAAAATGGTACAAAAAAGTTACACTAATACTTTTGAAACTTTATATATCACTAAGATGAATATTCAACACAAAAATGTAGATATATAATGATATAATTATATAATGATAGCATTGTTAATGTCTTTTTAAGATTTATTATTTGATGTGAGGGGTTTGAGTCATGCCCTGCATGTCAAATGAGGCTGCTCCCAGCTTGGAGAATTATGTAGTATCTGGGATTAACCTGGCGTTGGTTATATGAATACTGTGATTTTAAAACAATAAAACACCTCAAAAATAATATGTAGTTGCTATTATTATCTATCACAGTTAGTTACTTTTTATGAAGAAATTTCACAGAGTAAAATGAAGAAATATTTACGTATGTTTTCTTTATATGAATGTCTATATAATAACATAAGAAATGACCGGTTTACATTAAAAACATGGATTGTATTATTAAAAGATGATATAGTTATTATGGAGACGGTACTGAGCCCGCTCAAGCAAATCGGTGAACAATGGGAGGTCAGTGGACAGTGGATGTAATTATTAATTTCAAAATTTGTTGCATTAGTACACTTTCATTGAAATCTATAAAGGAAATATGCCATACCCAAACATAAAAGGATGACATATTACAAACTTTTACCATATTATAATGCATATGGAAAATATGTTTATTTCAGATAAAGGACTTTATTTCCTTTATAAAATATACTATTTCGCTTTGGATTATGTCCTGTTGTGCTCAAATTTTACATCTTAATCTAGTGTTTCTATTTCCAGTCTTTCTACTTCCAGAACTTTGCTTTGGTATATGTTCCATTAAAAGTTAAGATAGAAACTAGCAGATGCTTCTCTTAGAACCACTCAGTATTTTATTTCTACTTCAAATAGGGCTGGATCGATAGCACAGCAGGTAGGGTGTTTGCCTTGCATGCCACTGACCCAGGTTCGATTCCTCCATCCCTCTCAGAGAGCCCGGCAAGCTACCAAAAGTATCCCACCTGCACGGCAGATCCTGGCAAGCTCCCCATGGTGTATTCGATATGCCCAAAACAGTAGCAACAGGTCTCCCAATGGAGACGTTACTGGTGCCCGCTTGAGCAAATCGATGAACAACGGGAGGACAGTGCTACAATGCTACAGGGCAAATATACTTTTACTCTTTTCCAATGAAAGGGGTGACCAAAAAAGAATTAATAATGCCTTTGATTGAGTGCGGTTATTTTGAGCAAATGAAGAATAGGTATGTGTAAATTGTTTATAATTAATGTTCTTATCATTAATTTATTTTTTATTTTTATTGGAATATTATTTTAAAATATTCTTAAAAATATGAAGAGTTAGTGATTGCACTATAATTCAGTATGGATGACAAATAAATTCTATATATTTAAAGTTGGAAGCCTGATCATTAAATTTGAATATATTTTAGCGTTTGCAGTGGTAAAGATTAAAAATTTCCATTGACAAAGAAAAAAATCAGTGTAATTATAAAATGTAACATTTCTGTTATGAGTAAGTAAACATTGACAATGGAAAATATACAATAGCATATTTATTTTATAGAATCTAGAATTTAGAAGTGATGTTCATGGGTACCCAGAAGCTACAGACTTTTTTGGAGAGACTTCCAGGGACGGCTATTTGCTACTTATCAAGATGAAAATTATCAAAATACGCTTTATTGGCTAGAAGAATGTGCCACAGAAGTGAAAATCTGAGTGGGCAGATGGGATAGAGTGAGACCACGCATTTCTTCTCCTCCTCTTTTCAAAGGTCTCTCACTCTCTGAGATAGAAAAAAACAATTAAAAATCCAATAGTCTACTTCAGGCACAAGAGAGAACTACTAATACTACCTAATTGTTAATTACATCCTTTCAAGGGGACAACTTTTTCCCCCCCCTACTCTCAGACCATGGAATCATCAAGAACAGGGCAAAGAGGAAGAATGCTAATTAGTGTTATTTTTATCTTCTCATTTTATCAACCATACCAAATGAATGGAATTGTTTTCCATGCTGTTGTCCTAAGTGCTACACTTAAGAACACTTAATCTGGAGGAGTATTTGGTAGAAGAAAATACTCTATAAATAACTAAAGCACATTTCAATGTCCTAACCAGCTCTTACTTCTGTTTGGAGATGGGAAACAGTTAATGAGTACATTCAAAAGAGATTCAAATGACAGGCTTTACCAAGCAACTATGTGGATAGTATCTGATAGTATACCATAAATTCAGAATGCCACTATTGAGTAAATAACAATTTAAATAGCCATTTTTTAAGCCTAGGAGACCAAAGAATAGCTAATAAACTGACCTATTTACAAAAGAACAGTATGGAGATTGCTCAAGCCGTCAGTTAGATGAAAATGATAACGATTCATCCTAACAAGTTTGTCAAGATAGGGCAACCACTTAAAAAAAGTAAAATCATATTTTATTTAGTTATTTGTCATCAACATGTCAACTGTTCTTTAAGAGGTAATACTATAAAGTTCCTGAGTCTATATAGTGTTTTAAAAATGATAAAAATGATATAAGGAAAAATAAGCAGATATAATCCATTATTTTGTATACTTACAATATACTTGAAAATCAGCATTTGTCTAACTCAAATGCTCTGTAACAATATCTCTTAGAGAGAGCAATGTATGCAGAAGTCACAAAGTGGGCAATTTATCTTTTAGAGAAAGATTTAAACTTATCTCATGCTGAGTCTGACAAGCACAGGACTGTTTGGAATGGTATTTTGAGGGCGTGCACAGTACCATTAAGTAGCAGGCTGGAAGTAGCTAGGTCATTTAAATATTCCGAATTAAACATTTCCATAACATTTTCAAACAAACACAAAAAAGAATCCGATTGCAGCAATTTACCATTTCAAACAATAGCTAGACTACAGAACTCTTGTTAGAAACTTCAGAAGGAAGAATTTGAGTTATTCTGCAATTTAATTTGCATGCAAATCTAACAATGACATTGATGTTTTATAAAGAGCATCAAATGATGTCACAGTACAATGCAGTTTTTTGTGATGGCTTCTCTTTAATAAAACACATTTTATTCCCAATTATTATTTATAACATGCAGCTTCCTTCTGTGAAGATAGCACTCAAACCAATTAAGAGCATTTCTTTCAGCCATATACACTAGAGCTTTTCAAACAACAAAATGAGTCCGCTGAGAAAAAGACTTAAAGGGTTATAAACAAAGCTGATGTAGGAAGGATGCTTTAAAGGATCAAAACTAAGTCATTAAGCACTTTATGTGTTTCTATAATGATAAAATGAAAATGTATAAGATGAAGGAGCATATTTGGAAGTGCTACTTCAAAATAGTATTTGCATATGTAGAAATATTCATTTAGTGTTTCACTGATCCCATGTATTTGTCCTGAATGTTTGTCTCATTGAGCAGCAGAGATTATTTTTCCTTTGGAAAAAATTTCAAAGTTATTTCTTTGGGTTCCTATTTATAGGACAACAGTAACATTACTCTTTGCATTAGATTTTTTGCATAGAAATACAAAACCTGCAGTCCTATTATTTTAAATATTTTTATTGGTTTGTTTTGCTTTGGAGAAACACATGGCAGTGCTCCAGGGATACTTCGATGTTCAGTGCTCAATGTTCAATGGTAGTGGTGAGGAACCATGAAGTACCAGAGATGTAACTGGGTATGGTGCAGGGACCTTCTGTATGCAAAGCATGCATTCCAGTCCATTGAGATCTCTTCTGCCCTAAAAGATTTTTCAACTCTAATACATCAGCCTGTTTTTCTTCCACTTATACTATTGGAATTATATATGTTTTTATTTCAATTAGAGGGGAAAATTAAAAAACAAGTCATTAAAATCATCCTATGTGGCTGGAGCAATAGCACAGCGGGTAGGGCGTTTGCCTTGTACGTGGTCAACCTGGGTTCAATTCCCAGCATCCCATATGGTACCTTGAGCACCGCCAGGGTAATTCCTGAGAGCAGAGAGGGGAGTAACACATGTGCATCACCAGATGTGGCCCAAAAAACAAAACAAAACAAAATCCTATGCTTTTATGCTGGAATGATACCATAGCAGGTAAGATGTTTGCCTTGCATGCGACTGACCCAGGTTCGATTGCTCCGTACCTCTTGGGAAGCCCAGCAAGCTATCGATAGTATCCCGCCCACATGGCAGAGCCTGGCAAGCTCCCTGTAGCATATTTTATATTCTAAAAACAGTAACAAGTCTCACAATGGAGACGTAACTGGTGCCCACTTGAGCAAATTGATGAACAATGGGAGGACAGTGCTACAGTGCTTTTATTAATAATGATTTATAATATTGATAATGGCAGGGTTTCATGAATAGAGCATCCAAGACCACACACTCCATCAGTGTTAGCTTCCATCTGTCATGGCCTAGGATCCACCCCCATTTTATCCCCCATCTCCCTTATTTCTGTTGCCTATGAGTATCTGTTGTTTCTTTACCATGCTACTTAATATACCACAGATGAGGGAGATTGAATGTTCCATCCCTCTCCTTGAGACTAACATCACTCAGTATGGTACTTTCCACATGCATCTAAATAGCAGCAAATCGCGTTTTTTTTTCCTTTTAGTTCCAGCTGCACTCACCTGTCCTGGTCTGGCATTTTCACATACAAAAGTATCATAGAACACAGCAAATTGAGGGGCGTTATCATTAACGTCCAGAATTCTCACATAAACAGCTACACGAGTCATCTCTTTGGGATTGTCTACAACAGGGGAAGATAAAAAAATTAGGAGGACACATTTGTGTACCAGATTTAATTTATACAAGCATCTTGTGTATATTAATGGCTATGTACAAATAAACACTGCATTCATTCTACCACATAATGAGAAAATGCAATAAAGAGAATTACTACAGAGCCTAATTAAGTAGTCATGAATCCACTTATCATTGGACTCAAGAGTACTCTTATTATTTTTGAAAATCTTTTTAAAAGCACAACGCAGAGTAATCGTGTTCATATTACATTTGTGTCCTTGTAGTTCAAATACATAAAACGAAAAATACAGTCTAAATTAATACTTATACATTACGACTTAATTACTTATACATTTTATACATTATTGTTTAATCTTTACTGATTTTTTTTGGAGACAGAAATAGTTTCAAGCAAATTAGGAACTTCTCCAAGTTCCGAAATGCTAAATGTAGTATTAGAACTTACACTTCTGACTACCTATTACCAAAATGTATTCTAATAGCTATTCCTTAACTCTCCTTGTGAATTGAATATTCAAGTATTAATTTTATAAGCTTTGAGAAAATTTACAATAAAATATAAGTGGTCAAATATTTTAATATAAATTTTTACTATTGGTTTAATCATCAAGTATCAAATTTGTATAATAAAATCAATTCAAAATAGCAAATGTATAGTGATCATGATTATGTTGCCATAAATTTAAAATCAAGAGTATGAAGTTTCCACACAAAAATATGCATTTAAAATTTCTGTTGCTTTATAAATTGAACTTAAAATATAAATGTCTATTTGGCTTTGCTTTTGGTAACAACTAGTCACGATTGCTTCACCTATGCCTTAGATTTTTCTAGACACTTGTATTGATTTCTGAGAATGTTTTGACACTTAAATTCAGGTTATGTTCATCAGCTTCCATATAACAAAATCTGTCCTGGCATACGATTCAAATTCTTTCTGAACATTGACAAAGTCTAATTTTTAAAAAAAATCTATGAAAAGAAACAAAGATAATTAGCAAAAAAGCAAAATTTAAAAATAGAATAGAAATGCTGAGGGTCAGTGGTAACCATATCAAATTGTCTCTAAGGACAAATATGTACAAATAAGAAGTGCACATATGTAAAGATACATCACTCCAAAGAGATTTCCTTTTTCATCAATGTAAACAGGGCTGGAGCAATAGCACTGTGGGTAGGGCATTTGTCTTGGAAGCAGCCGACCCGGGTTCGATTCCTTTGTCCCCATTGGAGAGGCTGGCAAGCTCCCCAGAGTATTCTGCCTGCACGGCAAAGCCTGACAAGCTACCCATGACGTATTCAATATGCCAAAAACAGTAACAAGTCTCACAGTGGAGATGTTACTGGTGCCTGCTTAAGCAAATTGAAGAACAACGGGAGGACAGTGCTACAGTGCCACAGTAAAAAGGTAGTCTAGGTAGCTAAAATATGTTATTAAAATAATGCAATCAAGATTCTAAAAAAATCATGTATAAAAATAATGATTCTCTGATTTCCCATTGTTAGGCCATGCATACTTTTGAAAGAGAACATTTAAAGTGGGTAACCTCTTGAATACATCCTGTTATTTCTAAATTATCCGCTACTACCCATTGGTACACTCTTTATGCACAAATGAGATGCCAGCCTCTTGGAATTACTTGTTGCTATAAAGAATGGGAACAATGATTCTTCCATATTCTCTAGAATTTGCTCTTTAGAATTATTTCTAGTTTGTGTGTGTGTGTGTGTGTGTGTGTGTGTGTGTTTCTTTTTGGTTCACACCCGGCGATGCTCAGGGGTTACTCCTGGCTCTGCACTCAGGAATTATCCCTGGCAGTGCTCAGGGGACCATATGGGATGCTGGGAATCAAACCTGGGTCAGCCGTGTGCAAGGCAAATGCCCTACCCACTGTGCTATCGCCCCAGCGAATTATTTCTAGTTAGTAGATATAAGCAAAATATGTTTCCAATATGTTTCCATTTTTATTGACATAAAAATGACTTACTGATAGCAATTGACTTTCTGACTCTGCTACAGGAAATCCCTGGGATTCCTGCATATTTAGAAACCTGTATAGTTAGAGAATAAGAAGGCGTTCATATCATTTTAAAAAATAAAGAAGAGGGGAACTTTCATATCTTAAAACAAAAATAAATTTAAAAAAGGAGAGAACTTTGATATCTGAAAAAAGAAAATTCAGCCAACCCCTTGCCTCACATAATATGGAGATTCACCAGCCTCTTTACAAATAACTCAAGGCTTCTTTAAATCAATAGTTAAATCCACAAGGATAAACAGGCTTTGTAAAGCATCAGGCCTGGAGTCACCTATTCAAAAAACAGTGCTTAAACTAATCTTTTTACTGGCAGCTGTTGCAGCCTGTATATAAATAAAAATATAAAGCTTTCAAAAACGCTATCATACTGAAGAAGAGCTAGCCTATATTTCCCAGCTGAGTCTCTTACAAAGTCATCCAGGAAAATTCTTCTATAGGAAATCTGTATCAGCAATAAAGGATCTTAAAATGTTTGTCCTGAGGTGAAACTATGTCTCTGTCTTAACAGTTTTTTTATTCCTCAGATCTCCCAGAAGAAACCTTAAGTCATTATCTAGAAATCTCAGGTTTTAGAAATATGTATTTTGGTTAGCTGCTTAAGGCAAGAATTTCCACTAATAAGAAACTGGTTATAGACAATGGAGTTCTGTCAGACTTTGATCTATCATCAGAGTGTGCTACAACGATTATGGTAAAATTTTCATATAGTTTAGAGGAATTCTAAACAATTTTGCAACAAATGTGATCTATTTTCACTGACTGTGACTGTACCTTCAGAAAAATTTGATCCACATGACATTTAAATTATTTTGAAAAAGGATAAAGAAAAAGAAATATATAGTATAACACATTTACATTTCTTGCAACATTTCATCATTGTATGATGATCGACTATTTGGGAGGTAGGATTAAATTGGTAAAGGGAGGATATGGAAATATGTTAAATACTACGTTTACACTTTGTTCTATATTACTGACTACTTATGTATGTGCCATAAGACCAATGTTTAAAATCTAGTAAAAACAGTTTCCTATAATGCCGTTTCTCTCTTTCTATCACTCCATGGAATTCTCGGGAACAGCATAATGGGCCCTGACTGTGTAGGTTGGCAGGTAGGCGTTTCCGGTAGCTGCTCTGCAGATTGATTTTACTTGAGGACAAAAAATTAGACTTAGTTCTGAAAAAGAATGTAATTGGTTTAGCTTTTAACAGAATGGTAATTACTTCAACTAGCTTTAAAAGTTAAATTTCTCAAAGTATCTGACATGGAAAGTGCAATTCCTCGCTTATCAGGCTGAAAGAAGGATCCTGAATCAAATGCAAACATCCGTGATTCTAGAAAAAGCAGATGATTCTGCTGGGCATATCCAACCATGGAGATATAGAACATCTACAGACACAAAATGTCTTTTCAAAAGAATTACTCTCAAATCTTAAGTCAGCCTCAGAAAGGCTAAGTGACATACACAACTCAAAAAGGAAAAACAGAATTCTTTGGTTGATGAAATTAATCTATATTTCAGTGAGATCTTAGAAGGGAACTGAAGTTCTATTTTATATTTGAGCTTTAATTAATGGTCGAGGATCTGTCTAGCCTAATTTTCTCCTTTCGAGATTCCTACTGACTCTGTCCAGAAGTTCTTTCAAATCTGGGAGTGGTTTCTACAAATCATGTGATCTTGACACATGGCTGTGATTGGTGTTTAGTATTTCAAATCTAGAATTCATAGGCTTCTTTGTTGACAATGACTAATTTATGTCCCCCACTAATGTGATTAATGTTCCTTTTTAAAAATAGTTCAGGAATTGTGCTGCTCCATTTACATAACAGTAGAGGAATTAGAAACTACAAACAGTTCTGCATGTGTGAACAGCCCTAGACTCACAGGCTTATGGGCTTCACTTGTATACTGAGCAGGGTGTCAGGAGTGCTTATGCAGTGTTTTGTTTTTGTCCTTTATTTTTTAAATGACTTACTAACAAGACATTGACATTTTCACTTTATAATGGACTCTGCAAATTTGCTAGTCAAGCCTGTGTGGGAACTGCAATTTTTTTAAGTCAGAGACAGATGCAGTTTTGAATTCTAGCTCTTCTTTCCACTTGCATGAAATGCTGCAAATTAGGTACAGAATAGGAATGGAGTTAGACACAAAATGATTAGATCAAATCCCAGTTTCATTGCTGCTAGCATTGTGATTTTGGACAAGATAAAAAAAAAAACTGTAGTCTTACTTCTTTTTCCATCAAAGGAAGTTATTAAATATATTTGTAGGAAAAATTAATTCTTACACTATTAGCAGAAACACACTGCTCAATGCCATCTATTTTAAAATTTTGTTTTACATCTATTAAATTGAAGCAATAATATCTACAAAGATATTTCTTGAAATCAAATAATAAAACATCTAGATTTGAGTAGAGTCTAATTCATAATGTGCATGCCACATTTAATACATATACTAAATGATCCCAAATCTTTACTAATTCTAGATCACCTTTATTATTTAATAGTATATTTAGAATTATGGATGCATTAAAACATCCAAACTATGTGTAGAAACTATTAAAATAATTAAGATAGAAGCCTTTTAAAATTAAATAAAAATTGCAATTCATATATGAGATGAGGATTAGTTATTTTCATATTAAAACCTACAAAAATGCTAAATGTATGATAAATTCTTCTTACTGATTTCAGCAGCTATAACAGTAAGATTGTGCCATTGAGATAATTCACGGTCGAGTGGTTTTGACGTATAAAGAGATCCATTTCCAGAATGTATATTAAAGATTCGATCCAGATCAGTATGGCGATCTAAGGAAAATCTGAACATAGAGGGCATCGAACACATGGCAGTATTACTGGTTTGCAGAAGAAAATGATGAAATCCAAAGACACACATCACTGATTTCAGAATAATATACAGTACTGACCTTAAATGCAGTTTTATTGATTCTCTCTCTCTCTCTCTCTCTCTCTCTCTCTCTCTCTCTCTCTCTCTCTCTCTCTCTCTCTCTCTCATACACACACACATACACATGGGTCAAAATGAACTGTCATTTTGTATTGCATTCAAACACTAGACTTCTGAACATGTAGTACTAAATCTATTACCACAGACATTTAACTGAACTAGATTTATTTTCCCACAAATAGTTTTCAATGCCAGTGGTTACATAAACCAACTGATTGTATCTGGTAATTGATGATTCTACTGAGGAATTTTTACAAATACCTAATGCCAAAGATAATTCCCCAAATATACATCTTTTATACTAGTGAAAAAATTGAAGACAATATTAGTGTCATAGTATAATTTTGTAGAATCTGTCTCTTAGTTGCATATGACATTAGTAAATGCATTTGTTTAAGCTAATATGTCTTTTAAAAATAAAATACAGGAAATGAGTTTTTTTGCTTGTGCATGTGTATCAAAAAAGTCATGGTATATGTCTGCAAAACACTGTTGGAAATAGATCAAAGATAACATGTCTAAAATAATTCTAAAGCCAAATATATTGCTAATAATTAGGTTTTTATAGATGACATAAATCCTATTATTGTGGGCATTTTCAGCCAAGACTTAAAACTGATATACCTTTCATCAGTTTCTTCTACTTCATAATCCTAGTCTTTTACCTACATTTGTGGTTCTTGAGATAGAAAGCAAAATTCCCAAGTTATATTTAAAGCTCTAAATTAAGAAATAAATAAAATAAGTACAACAAGGGGTATTAGTTATGGAATATTTTCCCTAAGTCACTAATATTATTTATATCAAAGAACGTATAAAATATATATTTATCATTTTATAATTATACAAATCATTAAAAAATGTACTGTAAAACACAACTTTTAGGGTCCCAACTTACACAATCTTTTCAAAAAGTCAATTGAAATTTATGATCTTTGGGTCTTAGTTTCAAATAAATTGCATTGGTCTAACAGTTTAATATTCCACACAGCTAATATGATATTACGTTATAAGAATGTTTATGTTAGATTATTTTTATTTTAAATTCTTTCTATATAGCCAGAAAGAACTGCAGGTAGGTTCTGGCCTTGACATGGCTGCCTATGGTACATTCTTGGAATTCCAAATGGTCCCCCAAACCTTTTCAGAAATGATTTCTCAGCACAGATCTATACAAGCAGAGCACCCGTTGAATGTGACCCCAGGAAAAACAAAAACAACAACAACAACAACAAAATAAATTAATTTTATATAGAACAGAGTAGTAATATGCAGATACTAATTATATTCTGCTTTTACTATTTAGACAATATGAATTTAATTTTATATCAAAATTGCATGGCTTACTATTCACATGAAGTAGAATGTCACAACACTAAAATTTTAATAATTAACATGTCTTCATATATTGACAAAATATTTAATTAATGAAATATTTATTATAAATATTATAAATATTACCTCCTCGTTTCATTACTGATTAAAGTAATGACTTTTTATCTCTTTTATTCTTAAGTCCTCTGCATCATTCATCTTTGCAATTTACCATATTTTATTAGAAATGTATTTCATCTCACATCTCAAAAAGGAAATCAAACATGGAAACAAAAGCATTGCATTTAGAGTCCAACATGTACTCATTAATACTATTTCTCATGTAAAATGTTTTCTAACAGAGAATCTATTAAAATATCTTAATACTCAATATGGTGTTTCAGAAGTAACAAATATAAAAGAAGAGTGATAGAATTCTTTATCATTTTGGCAATTGGTGGTGGTACTTATTTCTACAAAAAAATGATATGAAGTTGCACATATTAGCCACTAAACAGCATTTGTCTTTGTCAAACCCATTATCTATTTTTTCATAATTATGTCTTCAAATATAGTTTAAAGAAATAATGGCAATATTTAGAGTATTATCTGAAATTACCAGAAGATACAGAAAAATATAGGGTCTTTCTCAAACATGTTATAATTTTGCCTCTCAATGTCTGCTGATAAACTATGTGTGCTAACTTGCATTTTCTTCTAAGAAATCATTACCAGATACACATTTTAAATTAAACCCTTTGGTTATTACATTAATCATTAAAATATATGACATATATAATTTATGGCTTGGTCGATGTAATCCATCCTATGAACAAATTATGTTATTAAAAGTATACATTCCTTTATAACATATGCACAAATGAGTCTAAACACACGTGTACAACTCTCATTTTATGCTAATTAATCTATAAAGTATATCAAGTATTATATCCAAGAATATTCATTTGCATCGTCTAGTCTAAGTTACATTGGCATAGACATGCTTTTTTGGCCTAGACTGTAGGATAACATTGTTTTGTCCTTCCTCCACAGCCTCAGGTAGTTTAGGTTTATCAGGTTGCTCCCATCAAGGTGCTCCCATTCCTCTGTGTTTATTTGTAACTTCTTTCTTTGTGCTCTGTTAATTTGTAAATATTCTTTTTCTCTTCTCCTTAAATCATTTGCATAGTTTATTCAGAGCAGTGTCTTTTTTGTATGGACACAAGAAGACAGTAAACGCTATGCTTTTGGAGCATGGGAGTTTATTGACTCTCCGTGATATTTTCCTCCAGTATATCTGTTCTCTTGACCTAAACCTCAGCTGCCCTTACTCTTCGTGCCCCCAAAAGCCAGGTCCCGATGAGGGACTGGATGGACCCAGGACAAGCAGTTAGCTGTGTGCTACCCTGGCATCGAGATGGGCCTGGCGAAAGTCCCTAATGCTTAACTATAAATTAAGAGCTTGGTCTTGGACAAATGCTGTCATGATCCAAATACTAACGACTGGATTGGGACCCTGCTTGGATTAGGAAAGATGAATCTGGCCTGAGTTTTGTAGTCTAAATCTGTGGCAAGATGTTCCCAGGAGAGCTGCCCTCCAAGACTCAATGCATCTCTTACTGTGTCCATGCAAAAATAACTAGTATTAAGATACTGAGATGCTGATAAAGTTACTGGACTGAGGAAAGGAGAAAAACATCTTAAGAGGTATTTTGCCCCTGGGCAGTCAGGAAGGGCTTTGGAACACTCCTAGTCGGTGTTTTAGCTCTCAGTCAGGAAAGGCTTTCTTATGTTGAGTTGGCTAGGGACTGGGTGCAGTGTGGGCCCAGAGTGCTGGGGAGTAAGAGAGAGAGGAGTGGGAGAGAGATGGGAGCTGGAGAGAGCAGAGCAGAGTGCCCAGGTCACAGGGCAGAGGGAGAAGAATGTAGAAGAATACAGAAGCAGGCACGTGGAAAGAGAGAACCCAGGATGTGAGATGGAGTGGGAAGAGATGAGCAGGAGAGACAGAAGGAGACGGGAATGAGGGCCAGGGTGAGACTAGAATGCGGGGCTCAGAGAGATTGGGACAGGCGCGTGGGGAGAATGGAATGAACGGCATCTGATCCATTAACCAACTTAGCCCTTGTTCCCTCCTCTGTCTGCCACATGGCCCAGGCCGTCCTGGCTTGAGGAGTGGCCCCGGACCCCCCCCCCCCTCGCGGCCCCGAACCCGGGCAACAAGTGGGGAGAGCCGCTGGGGCTTCCCTGGCCGCCCTCAGAGTTTTATACACTAGTTATATATTCATTATTCACTCAGAGAATTAATCTTTTTTGTAAGAATACATATATGGAATATTTCTTCTTTGACAGAACACCTGCACATTAATGAAGCATTTTGCTTTTTTTGTTAGAAAAATCAGAAGCATAGTTTCACATATAATAACCATCAGTCTATCAGATAGTAAAATAGCTTATCTTGTGTGGAGATATATATTGATACAGATTTCCTTGGAACGCTTAAGAAAATAATTCAAAGTCCTATAAAAAGTCACTTTAAAATCAGGGACAAAATAAAGCTGAATGTTAAAGTCAGTGAAACATGGTTCCCGAGACATTTTTCCTAAGTGTTTAATGGGGAGCATTGTTTATGTTGGTTATTAATAAACTTCCAGGAATAGGCAGCCAAGTGAGTTAATGGTAAATATTTATCTTCTATGAATTATTCTTGGGTTTGGTCCTGGACAGTGTTAAAAAAAAAAATATATATATATATATGTGTGTGTGTGTGTATATGTATATATATGTATTTTAAAATGGTTATAAATTTCAAAGGGAAAGCACAAAAAATGAAGCCACTTCATTGAAAATAAATGGCTTGAGGAAGAGGCATTTATCGGGTAGAGTTATAAACACCACAGTATGTGGGTTGAAGAGATAGCTCAGTGGCTTAGTACATGCTTTCCATGCTGGAGATTGAAATCCAACCCCTGGCACCACAAAGGCCCATGATAGCTGCTGGGTGTGGTCCCAACCCTGTAAGATAACACTGTTCTGTCCTTCAGGCATAACCTCAGGAATAGTTGATAGTTTATTGGACTGAGGAAAAGAGAAAAACACCTTAAGAGGTATCTTGCCCTTGAGCAGTCAGGAAGGGCTTTCTTATGTTGATTTGGCTACCTGACTGGGTGGAGTGTCAGCCCAGACTAGAGGGGAGCTGGAGAAGGAGAGAGCAGGGCTGAAGATGGACTACCGAGAGACTAGCAAGGGGAACATGTGCTTGAGAGAACCTAGGCCCTCCATAACATAAGTTCTTCTATGGGATAAACTTCCTTGTAATAAACTGCCACTAAGATCAACTGGCCTGGCCCTGGTCTCTTCCTTCATCTGCACTTGGTCAACAGCCATCCCGATGCAGACCACACACAGTGGCTCTAGGGCACCGAACAGGGGCGGTGAGATAGAGCTGTCCAGAGAGCCCGCGAACACACAACCTTCTGCGTGCGTAGTTTTTACACAACCCCACCCCCCAAAAAAGAAAAAAAATCATAAAGGTCTGAAGCATTGTTGTAATATCCCTTTCATTCATAAAAGTTATCAGAACTCACTATTATTTACTATCCTGATAGCACAAAGTGATTTGGTTCCATTGTAAACACTGTTATTGCACTCTATCTACCTGGGTTTGACCACCAAATTTCTCAAAGAACTAATAACCCAATTCACAGCAAGCTCTGAAACTGGTAATCTGTACCTGGCTTGCCTCAAAACACTGAGAGAGTTTAAGTAGCTTCCAGGAATGGGCAGGCATGAGGCTTAATATACAAATGTGTTTACAATTTTTGGAGAAGTACTTGCATATTTAAACGCAATAAATCACTTGAGTGGAAATATTTGTTTTGATTTGGGGTCACACATGGCTGTCTTCACCACTGACTCTAGGTTCTTTGCTCTGGGATCACACCTAGCAAAGCTCAAGGAACCATATCCCATGGTGGGAACCCAACTGGGTTGGCCACATACAAGGGGAGCACCCTATCTGTGTACTGTCTCTCCATCCCATTACATGTGACTTGAGATCTATATTATTTCAAATTCCTTTCCTTTAATCTGACAAGTAGGTGTGATTACCTAATAGGGCTCGAGGTAGAATCTGGGTCCCTTGCCATGACTGTCCCAATGATCGTGCCTACTTCAATATCTTCGTGAACCTCAAACAGATACGAGGACCTGCTGAAAACAGGCGCTTCATCCACATCTTCTATGGAGATCTTCACAATGGTGGTATCTTTAAATGGCCCGAGGTAATAAAATCGTGGGTCTATGTGGGTGTTTTCCGCTTCAACCTTCAGAGTGTAAAGTCGTCGGCTCTCATAGTCAAGTGGCTGCATAAAGAACCATCAAATTAGAGTGAGAGAAATTGTATTCCTTCCCAGTTACAGTCTGACATTTGCGAACTTTGGGCCCAACCAGGAGTGATCCTTGAATGCAGCAGAGCCAGGACTAAGTCCTAATATGACTGGAAATGGTCCACAAACAAATAAACACACAAGACTAAATTATGTCTAGATGCTAATTGATTAAATAATTGAAGTAATAAAATATTTATTAATATTTTATATTATTAATATTTTAAAATTAGATATTGAATTAAATAGAAAAGTTGAGTTTTACATTTTATAAAAAATATGGATGTATATTAAAACCTATCTCAGAAGGTGGTAACTTATTGGCAATTAGTAGATTATGTGTGTATTTGCGCATACATATATATGTATATGTACATCTTTATGGCTGAATAAATATGTGTTGTGGTGCTAGCTTCTATAAACATTTTCTAAAACAAAATTCAACTATATTTTTAATGTGTTGTAATGTTTCCATTCAGAGTAACAAGTTCACGTTACTACATGATTCTTATGAAATTTTCAAGACAATTACAGAGTTTTTCAACAATTCTATAAAACAGTTTCTAGTTTTACGAAGAAAAAAAGATCCTTGTATAAAAAGACACAAGATAAAATATTGCAAATTGGCAATTTGGTTTCAATTATTAGAGAAAAGCATGAGATATGAATAACATAAGTGTTACAAGGACAGAATTGAATTCAATTATCTCTCAACCATTTTTCATTTGTTTTGTTTCTTTCCTTTTGTAAGCCCACCCAGTGATGCTCAGGGTTTTCTCCTGGCTGTGAGCTCTGGAATTACTCCTGCTGGGCTTGGGGTCCTTATGGGGTGGTGGGCTTCAAACCTGGGTCAGCCTATTGCAAGGCAAATAACTATTCTCTGAAATAGTTATATCTGGGTAGTTATATCTCAATCATTATAAAATGTGTATTTTTATTTGGTTGTGCTTGGTCCCCACCTAATGATGCTGAGGGCTTATTCCTGGCACGATGCTCAGAGATCACTCCTGGCAGGCTTGGAGGACTATATGTGGTATGGAGATGGAGCATGTGTCAGCCTCCTGCAAGGTAACACCCCACCAACTGGAATTTTGTTCTGGCCCTAATGTGTATATTTTAACATGGAAAAATGGGGCATGCATTGCTGATTTACAACTCTAAATGTATGAGAAGGAGACTATTCTGCCTAATTATTCAGTCCTGCAAAACCACAAGAAACTACTTTCTCCTTTGTTTCCATCATTTAAAAATGGTTAGCTGTATACCGAGGACACGGACATATAATTTCATGAAAGTTTTATATTTAACCAATGCTACAAAAATTGTCATAAGTCAGTGTTGAGGATCTTTCATAAGGATCTAAATGTACTGTGCCTTATTTTTATCTTATAATAATGGTACTAACTCTACAATTAAAGAAAAAGAGAAAAAGAAAAACGAGTTACCTTCACACAGTATTATTGAGCATATGTCAGCAGAAAAATTTAATTTATGTAGCAGAAGGGAAAATGTGAACAATTAAATTATCTTCCAATTCATGCTGTCTCTTTTTTTATTAGCAACTCTAATTATTGCTTCATACATCTGGATAGATGGGGTGTTATTTTTAATGCCTCCAACTGCTAAGATATAGCACCATTATTAGCTATAAACTTTTTTAAAAATGAAAACAATATTATATTAAGGCAGGAAGGTTTTTACTAAAGTAACTCAGCAATATAATCACATACACAGCTTGGATTTTATATGTTGTAAAATCTATGCCTTCCCATTTGCCTCAAAAAATATTTGAAGAAGTTCAAGATCCCAAGCTTTCTTTCTCTCATACTTTGGTACAGTGCCATTATATTTGAATGGTGATGATTCTTAATGCTCATTCATACCAGTGCTGTGTACCTTTTTTACTGTTATGATGCCTTCCTGTGTGTCCTTCTCAGTCATGATGTCAAACATGTCCGTCCCATCACCATCTATAATTCGATATTCTACTTCAGCATTTTTCCCAGTGTCAGCATCAGTTGCTTTTACACTTCCAATGGCTGTGCCAACTGGGGAGGATTCAAGAACTCGAAGATGAACTGTATCTGCAAAGAATAAATAAATAAATATATGCTTATGCATATATATATATATATATAAAGAGAAAAGCAAGAGGAAGAGGAAGGAAAAAAGGAGAAAGTCATTCTCACTAGACTATTCAAAGGCAATATATGTAGGTGAGAGAACATCAATATTAAACTCCACAGAGCAACGATATAGTGGATAAAGCATCTGTCATGTATGTAGCAGACTCAGGTTCGAGCCTGTCACCCAGTATGTTCCTTGAGACCCACCAGGAGTGATGCCTCAGAGCAGAGCCTGGTAAAGACCTGAGAACTGCGAGAATATGGCCCCTCAAACAAAGTAAAAGAATAAATTATGAGCTCTTAACCAATTTGAACACACATAACAAGAAAACGAATTCAGGTTTAGAAACAGAAAATGTGGAACTTTGAAAGTTTCAGAGTTTCCTTATTATAAATAGTGAATATCTCACTCACGCTCTAACATTATGATTAGGATTATTTTTCAAGATTTGCACCTTGCAATGCCCAACAGGACCTCAGGGACACAGTTGACTCTTCTGTGGAGGGGGGGGTGGGCGGCATTAATGCAGGGGTTGAACCCAAGGTCTAACACCTATGTGTTCTACCATGTAAGCTCTCTTCACAGTCTTTAAAATTTTCATTTTTAAAAATAAACATGTTATTTTCTGTCTTTTCATAAATGGCTAGGTGTAAGCTTTAAAACTTGATAGATACCTATGGGTATTTGTTCATCTTGTTTGTCTGTTTGGGGGCCACAGTCAGCAGTATGCAGAGTTTACTCCTGCCTCTGTGCTCAGTGTTTGCTCCTGCTGGCTCATCAAACCATATAAGATGCTGGGGATTGAACCCCAGTTGGCCGTGTACATGACATGTAAACTACTCAATGTACGATTGCTCTGTCCCTGCCTATATTGTGTATACACAATCAAAACAAATCACACAATATGCAGGAAATATTTATATTCTATTTTGTTTCTGTTGTATTTAATAACAATATTCTTAGTTTATTTCAGCTGGGGGGGGTGAACATTACAGAATCCTGACAGTTAATTACAGTGAGTAGGAATCCTGTTTCTATTGTGACACATCAAAAGTCCATGGGAGAAATACAGAGATGCTCTACATAATATTAATGTCAAAACACAAAACGCTTTACATTTTCTTTCATTTCAAAGACAAACAAGAATTTTTCTCTCGGTCCCTGTGCACCTGGCTGTGTGTCCAGCCTGCACAACCTCTACTGCTAATGAGATTTGTGTTTTCATACCTGCTCATAAACCACATATTACTGACAGATTAATCGACCTGAAGCACACTTCTGATTATAGCGCCTTTTTGTTCATAAACCTTAAGCAATTAATTTAATATAAATAATGAGGTCCAGACCTGTTAGCTAAGCACACACAGGTCAGACTGTATCTCTCCTAATGAATTTGGCCTTTAGTCACATTCATAAAGTATTTGACCAGACCAGACTTTAAAACTATTTCTTTATGGGGGGCTGGGAGAGATAGTACAGCGGACAGGGCGTGTGCCTTGCATGTGACTGACCTGGGTTCGATTCTCAGCATCCCATATGGTCCCCTGAGCACCACCAGGAGTAACTCCTGAGTGCAGAGCCAGGAGTTACCCCTGTGTATCACCAGGTGTGACCCAAAAACCCAAAAAAACCCCAAAACTATTTCCTTGACCGAGACAAGAAGGCACGAATCTCACCATGCTGTTTTCGACACCGGAGAAGAATTGATCCTCGGAACATGCGATAAAAGAGGTGTTGGAGGCGTCGGTGTCCTTGTCAACACAAACTTGGCCAAGAGCATTGATTCATTCGAATGCCTAACAACCCGAATCGGACGTTTACATTTGAATAGATGTGGCTCACTGCCTGCAGTTTCTATCTTCGTTGTCTACGCACCAACATCTCATTATGATGAAAGAGAAATCGAGAAGTTCTACATGGAGCTAGAGAAGTTCTATAAAGAAGACCACACCTTCTACAAGATCATTGTGGGTGATTTTAATGCCAAGATAGGACCGAGAAGATCAGCTGAAGAACTTCACATCGGGACCCATGGCCTAGAATGGAACGAACAGGGTGAGAGACTGTCTGAGTTCATCATGTCGACCAAGACCATTCATGGTAACTCACAGTTCCAGAAGGCAGAATCTAAACGATGGACATGGGAGTCTCCCGGTGGACGATTCCACAACGAAATAGACCACATCATATTCAATCGACGGTTTTGCCTGACTGATGTCGCTGTTGTCCCAAAATTTCGAACGGGATCGGACCACCGTCTCCTTCGTGCAAAATTCTACTTCACAGAGCGGGGAGAAAGGGCTGCAAAGTTCAAAAAGAGAACTCCCAGAATGACCACCAACTGGGAACTCTTTGGTACTATTGCGGCAACATGGGAAGATGCCATTGTTGACAACATTGACGAGGAATACGATCGACTGGTTCAGCACCTCCATGAATGTGCGAGGAACGCCAAGAGAGAGATAGCCACAAAAAGTCACCTATCTTCGAAAACTCTTGAGCTAATTCGCCAGCGTGGTTTGGCGCATGCCTCAGGCAACCGCAAGCTAACGTCCGAGCTTGCAAAGCAGTGCAGAGATGCGATCAAAGAAGACCTCAAAGAGAGAAGAGCAGAAGTACTGATAGATGCGGCAGAAGCTGGGAAAAGTATTCGTAACGCCCGCCTGTCCTTCGCCAACTATAAGACCAAGATGACTGCCCTCCGACGTCCTGATGGATCCATCACATCCTCCAGAACGGCAATGGAGAAGATTATCCATGACTTCTACTCAAATCTCTTCGATAGCCATGTCCACTTGCCGACATACCAAATTCCACAGGATGGGTATGTCGTTCCTAACGTTCTCCCTTCCGAAATCCGACACGCCATTTCGTTGGTAAAGAAGCAAACAGCACCCGGCCCAGACAAGGTCAGACCTGAACACCTGAAGAACCTGCCGTCAGTACTCATCAATACACTGGCTCGGCTCTTCACTCGCTACCTGTCTGAATGCAAGGTTCCGTCCCAATGGAAAACCAGCAGGACCGTACTACTGTTCAAGAAGGGAGACATCCATGACATTGGCAACTATCGCCCGATCTGCCTATTGTCTGTCATCTACAAGCTGTTCACTCGAGTCATCCTGAATAGGATTGGCAGAACACTAGATGAAGGACAACCATGCGAGCAAGCAGGGTTCCGCAAAGGATTCAGCACCATCGACCATATCCACACGGTAACCAAGCTCATTGAGGTTTCTCGGGAGTTCAAGATGCCGCTCTGCTTAACGTTCATTGATTTAAAGAAGGCCTTTGATTCTGTTGAGACGGAAGCGGTCATTGAAGCCCTAGCCAATCAGGGCATTCAAGCCCAATACATCAGGATCCTCCGTGAGCTGTATTGCGGATTCACTACCAGGATCTCACCATTCTACAAAGAAGTGATCGTTGATGTCAAGAGAGGGGTGCGGCAGGGTGATACCATTTCACCGAAACTCTTCAGTGCCACCCTCGAGAACATCATGCGACGACTGGAATGGGAAGGAATGGGAGTGAAGATAGATGGTCGGCAACTACACCACCTCCGCTTTGCTGATGACATTGTTTTAATAACACCAAACATCAGCCAAGCGGCACAAATGCTGGCCGACTTTGACCGTGAGTGTGGAAAGGTAGGACTACAGCTGAATCTTACGAAGACAATGTTTATGAGAAACAGCCTTGTTCCTGACGCCCCATTCGCTCTCAATGGAACGACCATCTCCGAATGCAACAGCTATGTGTACCTAGGTCGAGAGGTCAACATGACAAATGACCTGGCACCCGAGCTGCGCAGGAGGAAGAGAGCGGCTTGGAACGCCTTCAAGAACGTCGAAGAAATAGCTAAGAGGACGAAGAACCTCCGGCTCCGGGCACATCTCTTTGATTCCACTGTTCTTCCTGCATTAACATATGCCTCAGAGACCTGGGCCCTACGCAAACAAGATGAGAACGCCATTCAGGTCTCCCAAAGAAGAATAGAAAGAGCTATGCTTGGAATAACACGTTTCACTCAAATGAGAGAACGAATCCGGAGTTCTGACATCCGTCGACGATCAAGGATCAGGGACGCTGTCTCATATGCCAAGGTGTCGAAAATCAGATGGGCTGGTCACGTAATGAGATTTAAAGATGACCGTTGGACTAGAGCTGTTACTGATTGGATTCCACGGGATGTCAAGAGACCGCGTGGCCGCCCACCTACCAGATGGTCAGACTTCTTTGTCAAGATCATGAACGATCGGTTTGAGGCCCTCCATGTTCCCGGAGCGAAGAGATGCCATTGGGCTACACTAGCACGCAACAGGGACAAATGGAGACGTTACTGGCGCCCGCTCGAGCAAATCGACGACTAACGGGAAGTTAAGTGATTAAGTGATAAGTGATATAAATATTTTTTTATGAATGGTCACGGTCACAGTCCTCCCGTTGTTCATCAATTTGCTCGAGCGGGCCCAGTGACATTGTGAGACTTGTGACTGTGTTTGGCATATGGAATACATCATGGGGAGCTTGCCAGGCTTTGTAGTGCGGGCAAGATACTCTCGGTATCTTGCCGGGCTCTCCAAGAGGGGCGGAGGAATCGAACTCGGGTCAGCCATGTTGGCTGCGTGCAAGGCAAATGCACTACCCGCTGTGTAATCACTCCAGCCCATTTTTATATATTATATATAATATACAAATAATATAATACATAATATAAAATATATAGAATAATATGCAATATGCATTTTGGATGTTATTATTTTTTCTAAGATTATTTCCCAACTGCTTTCATGTAAGCATAATACAATTTGTCAAATTTGAGAAAAGAATACAGTTTTGGAGCTCTCTGTTTTGTCGAATTTATGTGTTGGGTCCCTAACCTTCTCCTTCAGTATCTTTGAATGTGACTGCATTTGCACAGAGACCAACAAACCTTGAAATAAAACTTAATGAG